ATAACATAAAAATTGATTTTCCGAAGATCTTTTTTATTGTTGATTTCCCCCTTTTCTGTAGCACCTAGCCCATATTACCTTAGGTTTGTATATTAATCAACCACTATATGGGCACAATGGTAAGAGAAATTTGAAAATAAATAGGATATTACAAGAGTTTGCAAGAGCACAAAAAATGAATATTAGATGAGCTATAATATATATAGGTACCTTAGCTGGCAATAAGAAACGATCAAATGTGATCGATAATATTAATAAAATATTACATGTAATAAACAAAAACTGATGGAATATCAGATTACTATTAGAAAACTTAGCTAGCAATAATTGCTTTAATACAACCATTCCAGACCTCATGGATATAGTGAATAGTACAAGTCAAGAGTTAAGATATAAAGACAAGACTAAAGAAGCGAATAGGCATATGCTTTGATATGCAGCATTGGTATGCTGCAAGGCAAGGCAAGAGAATCGATGAATATCAAAATATACTAAGAATGTACAGACAAGAAATTATGCTAGTACACATAAACAACAGCCCACCAGAAGTGATATTCAGTAGAGAAATGGACAAACATGAGCACCTATTGGATTCACAAGCAAGTATACAACAAGAAGTATACCAAATGATTATATAGCATAAAAAGATCTATGCTGCAATAGTAGAGATACCGTCAAATGAAATAGCTAATCAAATAGCACAAATATATGAAATCTCTAAATTAAGAAAATAGACAAGAAATACATTTCAAGAAGAAACAATCCAAGAAGAGTAGTCTAAAGAAAAGATCAAGAATTAAAAGAACACAAAATCAATATAAAGGACCAGGATTATTAGAAATAACAACGAATAACAGTTGCAGTGGAATATAAAGCGCTGCAAAATAAACAAGAAAAGAAACTGAATCAACTCTATCTGGAAGCCGCACAAAGAGAAATAAATCAATTTAGAGAACAAATAATAGGAAAAGACAGTACTAAAAAAGATAAGAAAGGAAAAGCTAAAAGCTTAAATATTACCTTTAATCAACAAGAAGGAAGCAAAGTCAAAACACCAAAAATGAGAAAATTCATTAAGACACAATTGTCACAATTAAATCAAATCATACAATTAGAAAAGGAACAAGAAGATCCAAGAATTAGAACAGGATTAAGACAACTAAAACAACGATTAGATAGTATGAAAACAAATTATAAATACGTTTTCCAATTAACAAGACAACAAACTGATGAACATATTCAAGAAATTGAAAGAGTCATAAATAGGAATATATTGAAAGCAGAACCAGCTGAAGACAAAAAAGCTTATCTATATAAAACAATATCCGCATTAACAGAAACAAAAGATGCTATTCTTTGGAAAATAGAGATCTAGTAAAAAACCTAGAAGAAGAATATAGATATGCAACTAACCAAGCACTAAACTTGGACAGAAAAGATTTTAAAGCAATGCAAGAGTATGAACAACGAATCTTAATAAAAAGATTCGCCAGACAAATAGAACAATGTGAAAGTAAACCATTACAAGAACAATATCAAGCAAAATATAGGGAACTATTAGGAGTATCTCTAGAAACCTAGATAAAATGCATGACGTAGAGACGAAGAAGAACGAATGTTCTAAGAACAACAATGAGCCAAAAGACAAGGCTTAGAATTACCAAAACATTACTACCAAAATATCTATATCATGAAGAATATCTACCAACAATAAATGAACCACGAGAAACAGAACAAATGGCAGATAAATGGCTACTAGACGAAAACTTCAGAAGAACATTAGAATGGCTAAATAAACAAGATAAAAATCAATACTTCAAAATACCAGAACAACCAATATCAAGAACAACAACAAGACCAAGTTCACCAACATCACCAACTTTCTTTGATAAAGCAAAAAGAATAGTGTATAGCACATTAAGTGCAGCACAACAGATGTTAAGTAGAAGAAATTCAATGCAATCAACACAATCATCCCACTCTAAGCAACATCAAATAAATCATCACCACTAATAAAAGAAGTACAACCAACTGATATAATATCTGAATCAAGTAGTCTTTACGCACCAACAAGTGATAATGACCAACCGGTATTACCAAAATATGGTCATAAGAGACAAAGGTCGCAACTCTCAAATCAATCATCTTTAATAAGAAATCTGCTATTAGAACAATTTAGAAGAGAAAATCAACAATGACAAGAA